GGATGACATTCATATTTAACGATACCAGCGACAGATGAACATGCTATTATGTTCAAGTTGGGTGCTTTGTTGGACGGGAGGCTTCTAACAATATATTATCTTATGGAAATCTCATGAACAAAGTTCACATGTGAATGCAAATCAATGATTAAAGCTTCTGGCTGTTGGCTGAAGCATGAATTACGTCACAGTTTGAGAAGTCTGTGGCAATTCACGATTTGAACCTTTCTCCTAACAGTCGCACAAGCTTTGCAATATGAAAATTTGTAAAAAATAAATTTTTTCAACATTCGTTGACCTCAGAATATACCGATAGTTTTTNCTACAGCGGTGTGACCAAAGGTTGTGCGTCGAGGCTAAAGGACTGCGGGTCGTGGCTAAAGCATTGCGGGTTTTGGCTAAAGGAATGTAGGTCAAGGCTAATGGATTGTGGGTTTTGGCTAAAGGATTGAGGGTCGAGGCTAAAGGAATGTGGGTTTTGGCTAAAGGATTGTGGGTTTTGGCTAAAGGATTGCGGGTCGAGGCTAAAGCATTGCGGGTTTTGGCTAAAGGAATGTAGGTCAAAGCTAAAGGATTGTGAGTTTTGGCTAAAGGAATGTAGGTCAAGTCTAAAGGAATGTGGGTTTTGGCTAAAGGATTGTGGGTTTTGGCTAAAGCTTGATGGGAAAAGGTGTAGTACCACGAGCTGGAGCACTGGTCTTTCACCAATCTTTTGCTTTGGGGTGAAGTGACTTCAAGAAAACCCCAGGAAAATCCTTCCATTTTGGTCGAAAGATCATCGCCACCAATGCAATTATCCAATTTTCGAAAAATTTTATGAAAAACGATTTTCTGATTTAAAAAAACATGAGAAGGATGCACAAAGTTCTCAGTATGTTCCGTTCCACGTACCATTCAGAAATATCCCGTTTGAGCATGTATGGAGTTCTTTTTTCTTTTATTCTAGGAAACCCCCATCGATCTACTGCCACTTATAGTGCCAACATCATAAAGGAGAAAACAGATCAATACATCCTAACTGAGGGTAAAAAGATACCAGGACATGGACGATTGCATATTGAATAGAAACCTGCAAAAGACCACAAAATATTACATTCCTTTGATGCTGGACGAATCCAGATAAGTTCAGTTGCCAATACGGAATATACAGCTAGATTCTTTTTAAACACCAATCACTCACATCCATCGAGCTTCCAGAATTCATTCATTATTTTTGCAATTTCAGGCAGAAAACCCAAAGTTCCTTACTCGTGCAAAACAAGACGTCGACCCTGTCTGGATCTCAGTCCACTTGACAATGCCAGTGTCGCTTTCTCCGAGCAAACTGATGTCACCTTCCTGGTCTACTCGGGTAATATCCGACGCGCGCACAGTTTTCGTGATATTTATATTCCCGAAGTTATTCTCCCACCCGTGAAAACAGCCCTGATCAAGGAACGCCAACGCACCGGATCACCACCAGCTCGATTCCATCTGACCGATGATGAATTTGACGAAGTCGACGCAAACATCAAACATCTGGCCCGGCTGTATCACGAACGCTTGCACTTTGAGTACGGCAAGCAACATATGGCTATTATGCGCACGCATTACAAATAGACTACTCTACACTGACTCTTGTTCGTTATACAGTACCAGTCATGAGCAATGGATCATCCAGGACACGTTGTCCCGTCACGCTCTGTGTGGATCTATTGTTTGTCACTCGTACGTACAACTGCTTGTACAGCATGGCAACTGTCTAGTACAAAACCAAACTGCGAATAAAACCAGAATATCGATAGCGACATATCTTTTGGATGCCGGGGGGAGCTGTGAGTGTGGTTGTCCCAACCGATGTCCTGAGCCTGTACGGCAAACTGATCCAAGCACGTCAAATTGTCCATGCTTCGAAAAACTCATTGTTGAAAGCAGATCACATTGATCAGTTCGCACTGTGTTTTGTTTTGTTGGTATGCGAGCAATTCCTGTTCGAGTGTGTGGGTGTGCATGTGCGGATCGATCCGTGACTGCGATCTATGGTGGCAATCTAAGCTTGAAGTGAGGTCTCGACATACACACACACACACACATGTTTGTGTGCATGCCATGTGCCAGATTGCTATCTGGAAGTGTGAATCGGTTAAAAGTGTTAGCAAAACTGACTGGGGTGAGATACATGACCTTTGGCATACAATTGTTTATCTTACAGTGCAACCACCAATTTCTGTGATCACGAATGAGTTTAAAGGTAGAAGACAAGCAACCCACATTTCAAACTGTTTCATATTCAGAGTAAGATTTTATATTATGGCAGTAGAACTTGATTGCGGTCGGGATCTCCGAATTCGCCACCATTTGGATTGGTTCAAGATTTGAGGCTTTCATCAACAATCAATCAGAACAATCGAGTAAACCAGTGTGAGTGAGCGTTCCAAGATGCAATAGTAAGGAGACAACTTGCTGAGGTCTACACACATACCAACCCAGTCATATCAGCAAATCACCCCATCAGTTTCAGGTAATTCACGTGGGGTAACGGTGCGAGGCACTCCGCTGGCAAGGATAGGGGCGGTACATGTGCTTTTTCAACCGCCTATCAGATGACCAAGGAAGTAATCAACATATAAAGACTAAACTTGGATGTGACGACCACGTGCCCAATATGGATCACATCCAACACAGAACAAGATGCCTCGTTTTATACGAGATCTCATAGAAGTACACATTTAAGTTGAACACAGAGCAGACAAATGACAGTCTAGTAGTAGAAGCAGTAACTGCAAGTGGATAAAGCGGTCGTACTATCACACACTAAAACTATTTATCAATCTTCAGGGCAGCATGGTTCAGAATAATAAGGAAAATCTGCAGGTATCCACCTGATTAACTAGTCAGCTCTCATTTAGCCTTTTAGCGCCGTACGTTAATCCTACCGCATCGTTCTTCAGCCGCAGTCGGTATAGTTACATTTAGACAGTATTCATATCTGAACAGTGCTGATTAAGACGTGATAATCGCGTGCAGCATAGAATCAAAGCAGATGCAATGATAATGCGCATACACTATACGTGTGACCTGATCATACTCTCTATAGGTTCAAAGGGCTTAAAATATACCGCTTTAAGTGCCACGTTAAAGGGTCACGTTTCCAAATCCCTGAAAAACGGAACACACCCTGACTGACATCTCGTATGCAAAACGAAATGCATAAATATCTTAGGAAGACAAAAGCTACCGAAAAAATGAATTACAAACAGATATTTCATTTAAATGCGATGGAAATATTTGTGATAACCAACAAAGAGCACTGGACAGCTGTTTCGTCCCGTTTGGGACTCGTCAGCAGTGCGTACTGTTTGTGTCCCTGTCAGGACTCGAACCGCGATCAGTCGGGTTGGGACTTCAAAACCTTAGCCCTGAGCTATACGGTCGACGGTTATCACCTTGATACTCTAGATATTTCATTTATTTCATTATATAATCTACATTACTGGAACTGGAAAACTAGGGCCAAATTTCACGACTTCACTTTGTTTTGTGTCCTTGATCAGGCTGACAAACGAATTTTTCACAGGATGAATAAGAACCAAATTGGTTATTGGTTAAATATTTTGCCAAAACTCGATACACGTCCTTTGCATGTGTTGTTCTTTAAAAGTAGGTTTGAAAAAATTATACAGTGTAATCAACAAGTGATTCGATACACTGCAGTTTCACTAAGGGACCACCGGAGAATGTGTATGGGCCTTGGCTTTCAAACCCCTAATGGTTACGGGTGTTCTGCAAACAAATTAACAAATTAAAAGCTAGAAGAATTGTATCGAAAGTTTGAACACCTGTTTGGACGTAAACAAAGTCTTTTGACTGGATCGAAAAAGGATCGTAATATGGAAAGTAGTCGGTTGAATGATGCGAACATACAGAAACTTTTGTGGTTCATATATACCCTTTTGAAAACAAACACAATTCCTATGTCTGACGGTTGTGATAGACATCTAAAGCAAACATCTGGCGGAAATTTCATCGAATCTGTCAGATTAAATGTAATATTTTAGCTGCGAAAAGAACAAACCAAAATTGTTAGACTAGGAGGTACTTTTCGTGAGTTGTTCTGAGCAGTTTGGGATCTTATTTCTCCGACGCCAAATAGTATAGTTGAGTTCAACGATGTATCAGAGGAAAGTAGAATACTCGAGTTTCGTCAACATTGCACACACATTTGCTCGAAGTATCCAGCATCAAACATTTTACTGGCTTCACGACCGACATAAACTCTTAATCTGCAAGTTTCCATGTTTCACACTTTCAGACCATACACCCTGTTTCGTCTTACAACAATATGCATGTTTCTACTCCACTGGACCACCGACCACGTTAGCATGACAAGGGTAAGAAAAATCTCTGCATTTTGAGTTTCATACCCATTTCTTGAAACCATGGTTCCTGGGTACACGAGGCGTCAAACAGCGTGCTTTAAAACTTTCTTACTTTGTCCAGCGTAGAAATCGGAAAGAAGATTGGTACTCCAATGTGTGTGGGGTGTATGGGGTACCCGGTGGGAGTAGCACTTCGAACTTGGAAGGCTGTTGATCCCTTGGAGGTATCAGCCATTCTCTGGTCTCCACCAGGCGCTCGGCTTTCACCGGTGGCTCCAAGCTATCGGGATGCAACAGCGGACACTTCGGTAAACCGCGAAACAGACAGGCCAAACCAAGTTGAAGGTAACCGATAACTCAACTGCCGGTACTAGCCCGTTGAGCGGACGAAGTCGCTCAAAGGCCAAGGCAATAACTCCGTACTCACCAAGGATGCACAGACTCTTGTTCAGCTTGAAACTGCCAATTGTACATGAGCCCCCCAGAGGGCCACCCACAACAATGAGCCAACCTATTTATGCCTTGTAGTTAGCAATTGGATGTGCGAAGGCTAGAGATAACACCTCGAACTAAAGTATGGCGAGGCTGGGGACGTTTCCTGTACTAACTCTTAAGAAATTTTACGGATAATCACTTAACTTGACTCAGAGGTCGCGCTATGGCGTTCCCGGAAGGCGATGCACCCCGTGCTCCTCCAGTGGTTTCGGTGACAAGAATGCGCACTGGACACCTTAAACTAGGAAAGCACTTGATGGTGAATGCTGGAACGTTAAAACACTTAAATTCCGGGAGTCAGGCACAAACGACACAAGACTATTAGCTGGACATTACATGGTTATCTGAAGTCAGGTTCGCGCGGTCTGGATCCAGAAGTATCGGAGTCCCTGGCATTGAAGTTTAATACTGGTTGTGTCACAGCGATAATGAAAAGTTGGGTCCACACCGAGTGGCACTTGCTTTAAGCTATCAGGCTAATAAGGCTTCGTGGAAGGGCCATTCAGTAAACCTCCCAGCAATTGTTGTTTACTCCCCGATTCTCCCATCTGATAAAGTTAACGATTAGTTCTATGGCAGCCTTCAATCGTCCAAAGGGATGTACTTGCCATAGATGAGGATTGAAACACTCGAATTGGCCCACAAGAAGAGGGTACGAAGCACATTGAAGGGATGTTTGACTTGGGACGACGCTGCGAGAATGGTGACAAATGTGTCCCGTTTAAGTAGGTATATAAGAATAGTGAATTAGGCAGTTCGTATATTGTTGTAGACATATATTTAGCCGATCCGTAAGCCGGTAAGCAAGCAGGAGTTGGTAACATAGCCACGTAGGCACGCAGACCGACAAACGGTTCACGCGTCTCAAGACATCCAAATGCTATCAAGCAAGCATTCAAAAAGTCAATCAGCGTAGACACCCCAAACTAACATCAGACTGGCTGCAGCCAATCAATATTGTTATAGAGTAAATCTGTATGACGTGAGTGCATGTCTGATAGCGGGCAGCATCTATCAATCAGTCAATCAATCAATCCGACCACATGCATGCATGAAAAGAGTATCTATCAACTGTAGGCCACAACAGATTGCTCAGCTTCGCCTATCATAATCGACTGTTTATCACCAACATGCGATTTCGGCATCCCAATAAACATCTGACATGGTATTCCAACAATGGAAGAACAGCGCACCAATTAAATTACCTTCTCATCCGATCACGGTGAGTTCATTCGGTTGGGGACTGTCGACCCGATGGCGGGCTGAATGCAGCAACAAAAGCGGATCTGGTCACGTGCTAGTTCGCGGGAAATTCCATCTAACTCCATCTAACAACTAGCAAAAGGATCGTCCGCTCGAAACGCTTAAGTGTGCTCCAAGTGCAGAACAGCGCGAAACGCCAGGCACTGATGGGCATGACGAACGATCCCCTCGGTAGGCACGGAAGCACGGAGAATTCGATTGAAAATCAGCGGATCAAGCTGAATTCGTCGGCACAACAAGCTGCTCTACACGAACTAGGCGCTTATTCGTGTTGTTTGAAGCACTGGACATCCAACCGCACCATCCTGTTAGCAAATGCGACAAGAGAGACACGCTTAGATAATCCTCTGCTTACCGCGATCTCAGATAACAAGCACCACCATCTGCCAGAGACGATAGATGCAACTGCTGGAATGAAATGGCAAACAAAAGTGAAGACAGAAACGAGCCCGGGCAACCCTCTTCCGAATTATATTATCAGCA